TGATTATTCAAAATTCAATATATAATAATGTCTATTTTAACACAAATTTACTTGTAATAAAAGTTAATAGAGACATTAAAAAAATTTCACCACTAATGCTCACTAAAATATGATTTTAACAGTCATATGAGTATAAATATTTATGATTTTAACAGTCATATGAGTATAAATATTTGAGATTATGTTACGTGATATATAATATTTTATTTTTTATAGTTACCGATTGAGATATTAGAGGTATTTTTTTATATCAGAAAATGTATCGATTCCAGATTCAATTCTTATGACAAAATTTTTACAGTATAAAATATAATTTGAATTCAATCAATCTTAAATCAACACAAGCATAATTAAAATCTAGATATATTAAATTTCATAAAAATGTGAAATGTAATCGTGATCTCACAATTTTTGTAAAAATTAAGAACAGTGAATAATTAATTTAGGCAGTTTATGTTATTTTAGATCTAGATTTAGGTCTAAAATTAATCTTCAATTATGTTCTATACCTAATTAAGATGAAATTCATAATCATGAAAACAAAAATTAGATATAGAATGGAGAAGAAAATGAAGGGAATTCATATGGTAAAATTAGATCGAAAACTTGAATTCGTATGCTAAGATGACTTTTATGCCACTCCTCCAACACAACTCTCCTCAACCCAAAATCCACAAGGAGGCAAATTAGGTCCTTAAATCTTAGAGTTCCATCACCTATTAACTCAAAACCAATTGCCTTCTTGGTGCCAAACAGACTCAAGATTTTTAACAACTTTGGATCTTACAATTGTTTCACCCCAACATATTTCAAGAACTCATTATATATGGTAGTCATCCCACAGCTAACGTGATCATGAGCCAGTTCCACCTCCAAATTCATATCTTTAAACTGCTCAACTAACTCTAACTTCTTCACCATCATCTTTGTCATGTGGATGAATTTCCTACTCATAGCATCAACCACTAGATTCGTTTTCTTAGGATGATACATCAACAGAAAGTCAAAGTTCTTTAGAACTACCATCCACCTCCTCTACCTCATGTTTTGCTTTTTCTGATCAAACAAATATTTCAAACTCTTATGATCACTAAAGACACTAAACCTCACACCATACAAATAGTGTCTCCACGACTTCAAGGCAAACATCATCGTCCCCAACTCTAAGTCACGAGTGGGGTAGTTCCTCTCATGAGTCTTAGGTTACCTTGAAGCATATACCACTACTCTCATAGTTTGCATCAACACACAACTCAACCTTGGTGAGAAACGTTACAAAACACATTAAAGGGTTTACCAATGTCAGGTAACACCAAAATGGTAGAAGTAGTCAACCTCGTTTTGAGCTCTTAAAAGCTCAGCTCACATGCATCCGTTAAAACAAAAAGGCTAATCCTTTTAGGTCAATTGGATTAGAGGCATCACTATCTTGGAGAATCCTTCAATGAACCTCCTTTAGCAGTCTACCAAACCCACAAAATTCATGGTTTTGATAGTAGTCCTCAAACATTCCCACTACAATCACCGTCTCAACCTTAGTTGGATTCGCTGCAATCCCTTGACATACCTACTCAAAGAAATCTCTTGATGCTAGAGATGAAACTCCTTTAATGGGACTCTACTAGTTTTTAGTTTGACCAGTAAAGTCTTGAGTGAAATTGAATATTATTGAGTTTCAGTTAACTAATAATTGGACAATGATGTTTGGTATAAAGATCTCCGGTACGTCATTAGTTTCCTACACGGTAGTCATGGAGTGTTATCTCCTATCTATTATTTTATTAACAAAAATAAAAATAAAAATGATAAATTATGAAAATAAAAAGTAAATAAATACTTTAAAAACGTTACAAAATATCTAATAATTACTTTTCTTAAATGATTTATAAAAATACTATCGTAGCGTATAATTATTATAATATTTATATATACATGATTAAAAAAAAATCATAATAAAGTGAACCCCATTATGGAGGAGGGGAGATCCACTGATCCCGCCGTCCGTTCAATATATTCTCTTAGTAAAGCCGTTGACTAGTTTATTGGATGCAATTTGTTACGGATTTAGAGCCATCGTCATAGGAACATGCATCTTGTTACATTTCTTCTGTAAGATTCACCATTCTTTGATGATCGTGTAAAGAACCATTAACATACATTGTAAAATCTATAAATTACATTTTAAATATTTGCTAAAGATGTATTAGATAAAATTAATTATATAAATTAGTTCAAAACTTATATAAGATATTTGTTGGTGCTGGTATAGTTCTTGGTGTTCTTTGCTCTTGGTTAGGGATTTGTTATTTTGATTGATGGGTTCTATCTCTTGATAAGGTTTGTGGGGTGGCAGTTTTATTTCTTCTCGTGGGAGGCATTTTCTTCTTTGAAGTAGTTTATTTTGTTATCACATGAGTGTTATTCAGCATGTTTTTGGGATTTAATTGACTCTTTATAATATAGTAGGAGTGTTGTGCTTGACTCTTGTTATTTTGGATTGAGGGTTTTTTTTTTGTTGGGTTGGCTTTTTAAGATTTTTGGTTGTTGTGTTTCCTTATGATGGGTTAATGTACCCCTTATATTCTCTTTAATTAATTTTTTTGCCTATAAAAAATATTATCACATAACATATAAAAAAAGCTCCCTACATTTGTTACTTTAATAATAAAAAATTTGCTTTATTGAGTTTTTTTCCTTTCTAGATTTGATAGTATAAAAATGTTTTTTATTCATGATGTTGGAATATAATTAAAGTCCTACATCATAAAAAAAAACAATGGATGTGAGTTTATAAACATATATAATCTCTATTAGAAAGATCTTTTAGGAGATGATAAAAAATAAAATCATGTTAGGTAAATAATATCTTACCAATATAGAAATACGTGTGTATGAGATTTCCTGTAGAACACATAAACTACTCTATTTGATATAAAGATAAAATACCAATAAAATATTGTTGATATGCCAATAAAACCATAAAGAATTAGACATACAATATCTTACCAATAAAATAATTATAAAATTAACTAATTAATATAAAATAAATAATATATTTAATTATTTGATATAAAGATGTCAATAAAAATTAAAAATAATAATAAGTTAACTTATTTTCATAAACTAAATCCTCTCTAAATATCGGTTGATAATGGTAATCGCGTTTAAGAGGAAAGATGATAATGGTAATCGTGTTTAAGAGGAAAGAATATATATCAATTAAATATTGATTGTTAGGAAATTAGATGATAACTGAGAAAACATTTATTTAGTGTTAGATAAAAATATTTTATTTTGAAAAAAAATAATTCTTGCATTTATTTAAACTTGTCTAAATTATACTTTTAATCCTTTATATTATTTTTTATATTTATTTTCATTATTTATCTATTAAAATATTCATTTTAATATTTTTTCTTTTATATTTGAGTCAATTTAGTTCTTTTAAAACAATGATGATTTTCAATTTTGTGACATTATTTTGAATCAATTTTAAGTGATTCAAGATGTGAAACTTATAACATTATACTCAACTATATGAAAATTATGAATAATAAATCTAAAATAATTATAAACATAATGAAAATCGTATAAAAAAAATCGCATAAATAACTAAAAAAATCTCATAAATAGTGAAAATTGTATAAAAAAAACTCATAAATCTAAAATAGTGATTCATGTATACATTTTGAGCTATTTATCAATTTTTTTATTATTAGTGTTTTACATCTCTGAATGCTTATTGCGATTTGATCTACCATAACTAATTTATAATTTGAAAGTGAGTGCAAAATACTTTCTAAACCTTGAACTAGAGTATCACACTTTTATGGTTTAAGTATCTTTTATGGGTTGATGTTAATATTTAAAGTTTAAACCAGATAAATACATGTTTGTAAAACATGAGAGGAAAGTAAAGTGAGGTATAATTCTAACATTTTCATTATATTTTATAAAACTATTTTTTACACTTAACTTATTTGATAAAAAGCCTAAGAATGAGTTTTCAACTTTATTTGTCTTAGTTTTTTTTATTGCATTTCCAACTCCTAATTTTTTATTATTTATACAAAAAATATATTTTTATTAGTTTAGATAATAATAAATGTGATTTTAGTTGAGGATTGTGCAAGTCTCCAAACAATTTGGTAATCTCATTAGTCATTAAGGATGTAACAATCTTTTTAGATACAATTGCCAAAGACTCACGTCTGAAAACTTATACAATTTCACATTAAGTCCCAAAACGATCCTTTCTCTTCACGGTTGACACCATTCCTTTGGCGCTCAGCGCCAATCCAACTCAAGACAATTCTCTCACCTCTTGATCGACATCAATTTAATCTGAGATAGTACTCTCTTCTCATGTCCAACGCTACCAATCTTATGTCTAACGTGAGTTAGACAAAGTGCCTCTGATTGAACCATGCTCAATACCATGAAGATATGCCTAACGTGATGCGAGTTCTACATTTATGCAAATCACAATTTTTGCATCATTCACCTGAAAATCAAAAAATTTCTCACATGCATTGCAACCATTTATACATATCCCTTCTCAATAACTCATTTTGCATGTGAATAACAACATGCAACCAAATGGTGCAAATCATCAAAAATCACCTCAACATGCTCAAAAAGACTCAAAATTTACCAACACATGCATTTCACCCAATTTCACCAACACAACCACAAATTTAAACAGATTCAAGCACATACAACTTCAACAATCAACCATAATTTAGTCCTAACTTTCCTTATCTCTAGAATCACCAAGGGAGAGAGAAAAGAAGAATGGTGAAGAAAATCGAGCTCCTCCAAAGAACTCTGTGCGGATTAACGACTTGATTCATGATTCACTAACCTGGATTAACAACACACAACAAGATTAATGATTCTAGGAGAGGAAATCTGTAACGACCCGCCATGACCGTCACATTACGAACAACCTTACACTACTAAAATATATATATAAAAAGAGTATAATAAAATATTTTTACAACACAAGTTGCTAAGTGTGGCATGCAAACCTCAACAAGCATCTTAGCACAAAAGGTTACTGGAAAAGACTTCAAAAAGCATCCATTCCACTCAAGGTACCTCAATTTACCAGACAAATTATTAAGGACGCCAGAATAGTGCACATTTCCTGATCTCTTACCCGAAGGTACATATAATCTAAGAATTCTTAAATTAGTCATCAAATTCAATGTGTTAGTTTTCAAGTGCAAATCCTCAATCTCAGACAAATCTAATTTTATCCCTTCAATTACATTACTCCCCTACAAAACAAGTAAACAACATTAAATTTGCTATGAATATTTCTAACAACAGATGTCAAGTTTCATTTGGGGGGAAAAGTGAGTGTTTTTCCTAACCTTTTTATTTTCAAGTACATCAGAAATTTCTTCTATATCTCTCAATCGACTACGTTTTCCTGGATCTTCAATGCCCCCACGAACTATGTTCAAGCCCATTTCCTGTATCAAGTCATGCATTTGTATCGTCCCAGAATATGAAATAGTTATAAGAGCTTTGTCTTCAAGGACCTTTACTCCACTGGTAGCATAGAAGCCACAGGCATCTAGTATTCTTACGACATAATCTTTGTCTTCACCTTTGAAAAAGAATGCAATGTCCAGAAATATTTTCTTCTCTAGGTTGTCTAATTCATCATAGCTCACTTGTAATACATTTTGAATTCTGTCATTGGGACAATTCATGAGTTTACTCAATTCACATTCCCAAAATTCTGTACTTCTACAATGAAGATTAGAACCCAAAACTTTTAAAGCTAATGGAACTCCCCCTGCATATTTCACGGCCCTTTCTGAGAGATCTTCATATCCCTTATTAGGATGTCTTTCCTTGAAGGCATGTAAGCAAAAAAGTTCTAGAGATTCGACAAAGTTCCATATCCCAACCTCGTATATCTTATCAACTCTTCCGGTAAGCAAATGCCTATTTCTTGTTGTTATAATAACTTTACTATCTGGGCCTACAAAGTTACATTGTTCTCTAAACAAAATATCTACTTGATCTAAACTATCCATATCATCGAGTACAATCAAAACTCTTTTATTGCTGAGCCTCCTCAGAATGAATGTGGATCCTGCAGGATTATCTTTATGATGTTCATCCTTGAGCAGCTCAGAAAGAAGCTTATCACATAAAGAGGTTAGTCCAAGCCTTTTTGCTTCCTCTCTAACATTTGCTAAGAAGCAGACAGCATCATATTGCGGAAAGAGTTGAGAAAACAAGGCTTTGGCAATAGTTGTCTTTCCAATCCCGCCCATGCCCCAAATTCCAATTACTTGAACATTTTGTTGTAACTGATGTTTTTGATCTTCTGACAGCAACAATTTGACTTCTTCACAGTGCTTTTCAATTTCAACAAGGTCTTGTACTTTTAGTTCAACAGGGAACCTTAGGCTCAACTTGTGGGATACATCTTTCACAATTTTCTCTATTTACTGGAAAAGACTTCAAAAAGCATCCATTCCACTCAAGGTACCTCAATTTACCAGACAAATTATTAAGGACGCCAGAATAGTGCACATTTCATGATCTCTTACCCGAATAGAATAGCCAAGAAGAGGAATTCCCTTTTTCGAAGCTCAACCCGGAACTTCAATCCACTCAAAGCAAGCTTCCTTGTCCAGAGTCCTTCTTTCTAAAACCTCTCTCTAAAAACCTGCATTTCTCTTCCACCCTCCAACTCTATTTATAGACATTTAGGAGTGGCCAGAACGACCTGTACCGAAACCGGAACGACCCGTTCTGCACTCCCTCAACACGTACAAAAACCACATGCAGAACGGCCCGTTCTGAAATTAGAACGGCCCGTTCTCCATCCAGAACGGCCCGTACTCCCTCCGGAACGGCCCGTTCTCCATCTAGAACGTCCTATTCTCCGTCCAGAACGGTCCGTTCTCAAATACGATTTTCAGTTCAATTTAATAGCTTGGAACGGTCCGTTCCAGATTGGGAACGGCCCGTTCTGGGCTACTAAATCAGCCACATTTTTTTTTCTTTCTACGTTACAAAATCATCCTTTCTAGAGAAGATTTAGAGAATAAAAAAATTCCCAAAACACCTCTCTCTAGTTTATCTTTATGAGGTTCCAAAGAATATAAACTTATGAAACTTAGTTTTTAACATAAATCTTAAATATTCTTTCTTTAAAAGACTAATTGGATCTCTAACTAGAAAAATCCTATAAAACTTTAATAAATTTTTGAGAGTTCCTTAATTCTTCAAAATCACTCAACCACACTACGCACCACATGATTATGAATGAAAATATAATAATTAACAAAATTTATAGTATTATATGTTGGGGTAGGAACATGCTCAAATCCTAACGGGCTCAATTAATTTAAAAAATGTTATACGGAGAAAAGTGCTGGATAGAAAATGCAGCTTACTGTTGCGCGCATGTTCAACCCAAAATTGTTTCTTGCCATTTCTGACGCCGATTTCAACGTTATAAAACACACAAACTTTTAGAATAATATATTTTTTTAATGTGATTTCCGAGTTCCGTTTGGATTAATAACCGCTAAATTACGATACCCATATTTAGTAATATGAAACTCCAAACAAAAAATACAGTAAGCAAGGCAGAGAGTAAAAAAAAAACTCCAATACCAATTGTAAGAGTAAACAATCTAAAGCAAACACGTTTAGATCAAATAAGGACAACAGAAAAATAAATTTCAGAAACACATACTTGTTTTTTTTTTTTCTTTTTGGACAAGAAAATACATACTTCTAACCATTGCCACAAAGTTGATCTATTTCAAACGTTCATTTGCAGTTCAATTTCACAGTCTCTTCCCTTGCTATTGTTATCGCAAGAAAAAAAATGAGCACTTAAAACCTGCAACAAAACAGAAAAACGAATAAAGAACGTGTTATTCTGGTCTTATAAAATATCACACTTTTTTAATAAGCAAGACAATACCTATCATGTCCCTGTATTCGTTCTTCCATCAAGACTCAATAATTACACAATTGTAATTCTCAATCATATTTTGAATATTGACAACAACTGAGCCACTTTAATATTGGATTTCAGCAACCCATGTACAGTCTCACAAAATAAGAGAGTTTAAATGAAATTATGAGAGAGTAGAGAGTGAGTTCATCTCTTCACAGATAGAGATTTTATATATATATATATATATATATATATATAAAGACGCAAGTAAATATTAAATTATTTTAATAAAAACTAAATTATACTTTTAATCTTTTATTTTATTTTTTAATTCATTCCGATCATTTATCTATTAAAATATTTACTTTACTTCTTTATCTTTTATATTTGAATTAATTTGATCATTTTAAAATATTAATTATTTTCAATCTTGTAACTTAATTTTGAATTAATTTTTAACTGATTTAAAATATGAAACATGTAACATTAAATTTATTTATATAAAATATAATTGATGTTTGAATCCAAAATGATTATAAATATAATAAAAATTATGCAAAAAAAAAATACATCCTATGAACAAGTGATAAATTTTGAAAATTTCAAATTTCTTCATATTTATAACACATTTTGCTTGAATTTCAATAATATTGATTAGTTTTCAAGTGAATTTTAAGTCTTGATCAATAAAAAAAATTCAAAAGGCATAATATTGATCTAAATTTCAGAGATAAAAGATTAAAATGAATATTTTAAAAGAAGATAACGGATATTGAAACACGGCTAACGGCTTCAGTGAGAGTGTTCACTATTGAGTACTTAAATTAGATTGGGCCTAAAAAAGTTGTTAATAAAAATAGGTTGGGCTTGGGCCCAGATCATGGACAACACACAAATCTGCGAAAAATAGTGATATTGGTGAATAAAAAGGGTGGGAAGCAGATTAGATATGCAGAGACAAAAACCCTAGCCTTTGAAAACCCTAAATCTGCGATAGTGCTACTGTGATATGGCTAGAGCCATTTCCTCCTCTTGCGCACGCCTCACAATGCGTCTTCTCACCACCACCACCACCACCGCCACGTTACTCAGACCCTCAACACTCTCATCGCGTCGCTTCCTTTTCCCCCTGTCCCATGCCATCGTCGCTCCCTCCACCCGTGTCGCCGGTATCCGGTGCCGCGTGAACCGTGCCGGCGACTCGGCGTACTCGCCGCTGAACTCGGGGTCGTCGTCGTTCAGCGACCGTCCTCCCACGGAGATGGCGCCTCTCTTCCCCGGCTGCGACTACAACCACTGGCTCATTGTTATGGATAAGCCCGGTGGTGAGGGCGCCACCAAGCAGCAGATGATTGATTGTTACGTTGAGACGCTCGCCAAAGTTCTTGGCAGTGAAGAGGAAGCTAAGAAGAAGATTTATAATGTTTCCTGTGAGAGGTACTTCGGATTCGGCTGTGAGATTGATGAGGAGACTTCTAATAAGCTCGAAGGTATATCTTTTCTCTGTAATTGGTTTTTTTGAATGAATGTTTTGTTAAGATTTGTGTTAACTCTTCTATTTTTCTATGAGTAGGGTTGCCTGGGGTTCTGTTTGTGCTACCCGATTCGTATGTTGATCCTGAAAACAAGGACTATGGCGGTGAGGATTTAACTCTGTTTTGTTCTTCTGCTGTTTTTTCGCTTGTGTTTCCTGTCTTTGTAATTGCACATGGAGATTGATTTTTGCGATTAACTTGCTTTTTATGGATTTGAGGCCAACTTATCTGTGTAGTGACTAGGGATTGTGATGTTCGGTTGGATGTTCCCAAACTGTCGTTCTCCTTGAGAAAATGGAATGGTGAACATCACCTTATTCATATAGGATGTGAAATCTAAGATTAATTGAGCTGGTGACATGATTCTATTAATTGCTAGTTTGCTTCTTGGAAATGCTTTTTAGTGAAAAATATGTATTTAGTCAACCTATGTGTTCTTGTATATCTAATTATTTTGTGCTCTTAATATTTATTATTTTGATCACTTTCTTATTTTGCATTCAATGCGTATTATATGATTGTCTGTTTAAAAATGTGAAACAGACAGACACATTTGCCTTTGAAATTGTGAAACAGACCTTGATATATATATATATATATATATATATATATATATATAATTTTTTTTTTT